GACCACGTGTCAGAGCAGGGAAGATGGCCGCGGGTCGTGTTCGTCACCCGATGCAGAGTTCACAAACAGAAGCAAAATTTTGTGAACGCTGCTGTTCGCGAACCGAATTGTTCTTGAACAGAAACGTTTGTGAACCGAGCTATTACTGTACTTATTACTGTGTGGTTTGGACTGGGAGTGGGTACACAGTCATTGATTTGGATAGAGGAGTGAGACAAAAACCCTTACAGGAAAGAAAGTGAAATACCTCTATTGGTTTGGTTTCCCTTATAATAAAGAAGATCTTAAAACCATTCAGGAATGCTATGATTATATCTTTTTATTTATTTTATTCTTAGATTTTTTATCCCACCTTTATTATTCTTATAAATAACTCAAGGTGGTGAACATACCCAATTCTCCTTCCTCCTCCTATTTTCCCCACAACAAGAACCCTGTGAGGTGGGTTGGGCTAAGAGAGAGGGACTGGCCCAAAGTCACCCAGCTGGCTTTCAGGTCTAAGGTGGGACTAGAACTCATCATCTTCTGGTTTCTAGCCTGGAGCCTTCACCACTAGACCAAACTGACTCTTTTCTAAATCTTTAAAAAGAAATGGCAGTTTTGAAACTGAAGACTCAAGGACTCAGTTGGGTCTTGTAGGCGAGGATAATTGGCCAAACATCGTTCATCCTGGTAAACTTGAAATTAAGTGTGTGAATCAAGAATGGCAATGAGATGGGCACGGAAGCAACGCAATGCCATCATCCTGGTTTCCTTACCCCTTGGAGAAACTATATTAGTTTAGCTGTGGTCCAGGTTGACTGACGTCATTTTAGCAATGCAGATATTCTGTATGTATCTAGTGCTGAGTTTCAGCTGGGGAACTATCACAGCTAAATTGTTTTTATATTTATGAATGCCTTTTATCCCCTGCATTTGCTTCCCTGACTTCACCTCAGTTTAAACCCTACATCAGTCAAGCCACCGTAGGCATCTGATGAAGAGGGCTGCAACTCACAAAACCGTAGGTCTTTAATACAATGTGTTAGTTGTAACAAATGTGATCAATGCCTCATTTTGGGGAAAACGTCTAGGGAGTGCCATGGATCCAGCTTCCTTTTTATACCATGGTGGGGTGCTAGCTCCAATCTTAGTAGTCCATGTGGCCTCTGAATTGATTTTTTGGGCAACCCCAGGAGACCCCCTCTAACGAGCAGAACAGGTTTTCATGAAAACACCAACGTATGACCTAATATAGGCAATTGTCATCCCTAACATCCCTTAAATATTCAATAATGTCCCTGAATCGCTGAGAGGGACCTTCTTAGCCCAGCTGGGGAAGACCAAGGACAGAGTTGGACATTTCCCATGCAACCTTTGTACTCTGCAGGTGAGCTGAAGTCCTTCCTCAATGTTCTCGCTCAGCCTGACAGGGGACATGTCCCCAAAAGCTGCAGCAGCAAATCCTAACGCGTGAAGAGAAGGCATCTTCAAAGGATGGTCTTTCGTTTTATCGAAAGCAAGCTCCCATATCTGAGCGAGAATCAATGAGCAGGCAGAAGTTTTGCATGAATTTGAATTTACCTCTGGCAAAGGCTTAAGAGCAGAGAGGACAGCTGCAACGGCAGAGAATTAAATCTTGACTCCATTTCCAACCATGGCTTGGGTGCCTGTCCTTCTCCTCCTCTCCTCTTACTTTATGGGTAATAGATGACTTTGGATTTCTGCTCTAAATGTCCATGA